GGATTATTACCATTCTCGGTTTAGAAATCTCTGTTCTCGAGGTCAATAAAATCTCTCACGGTTATTTTAAGTATGTTATTAAAATTCTAACAGAAAAAGTGTAGAATTTCCCGCTACTCAAAATGAATTTTAACGATTACTGTCCTGGATTATAATAAACGCACACGTAGGAATTACAGTTTTTATTGAATCTGACGAATTATTTATTTTTAATAGAGTTAGTTCAACTTCTATAAGTTGAAATTTAGAATAGTTTATAATTGTTTCACTCAAAAGCCTTCCTTGTTATTATACGTCTGTAATTATTAAATCGGGGAAAGATGAAATAAATTTTGTCAACTTTTCCTACTCTCAATTAAAGAATTATTGTTATTTGCTACTTTCTATAAAATAGCGACGTATAAATAAACATGGAGGTATTTGTTAGTAAGATAAATTCATTCAATTTGCCGCGCATTCCATTCTAATAATTAACACTAGGTTGCGATATTTATTTGTGTAAACAGATATAGTTATTATTTATGTGGCATATGTTATTACAAACGTGTTCCGTGTGCTAATGTTAATGCATATAAGCGTTTAATTAATTGTTGCAGGGAAATAATGTTATGTAATATTTTAAATAGCACCATGCAATAGAGGTCACGAACTTTAAAATATTGTACATTTATTTATTTATTTGTTTGTTTGTACATTGATTATCTATAAATATATTTAGATATTCAGAGCGGCACTTTAGATGTTATTTATATATATTATTTAATGCAAAGATTTGTAGCAGAAACTTCTTGTTGGTATTTAGAAAGGTGGTAGTAGGTTAATAATTGCAATCTGAAATTGTTCCAAGAGTTTTTCGATTTTGGTAACATTTTCATTATTCATACCATACAGTTGCTGGGATACCATGGGGTTATTAGTTTCATTTTGATAATATTTCAGAAATACAACCATAAACTATAAAGCAAAAACAATTAAAGGCCTTTATTATGGTCTAAATCTTTTAAAAGACTGTTCTCGATTTTTCCGGTGCAGTTAAGCCTAGAACATCCTATCTGAGGACCATAAAAGTCCTCGAGAACTTTCTAACAGATATTCAAGAGCATTCCAGTAAATTTTCACTGATCTATTCGCAAAATCAAATGCATACCAAATGGAAGAAATCTCGTTCCTTACAAGAGATTCCAAAATGTCTTAAAATAGTATCAAAACCATACTCCATCATTTAAACATAATAGTGCTTCTATATTCTAGACTCTTCTCGAATTTTCCGATCTGGTTCATCCTAGAATATTCTATCAGGGCAATTCTAGACCTCGAGAACATTTTAGCTCTGAAAAACGCTAGAAGCAGGTGTTTGGTGGTTTTTTTCGCGAACCCAAGACTGTGTTCTCGATTCCTTCGGTCCTTTAGTTCATTCTAGGACAATTCTATATTTCTCAAGCATTCTAGGTGATATTATAATATCGCCTACGTAAAACAAAACAAAGCATTGGATAAAATTTAAAAAAATATTGTCGACATCAGCTACAATGAATTCTTTTTTTGGTTATTTTTAAGCGTAGCTTTTACAGGTTTGCAAAGCCGTAAAGTTACCGAACAAAATATTGTTTGTTTTGAGTTTACATTTGGTCGTATTGTAGAATACTGGAATACTGAATAATGTTATATGCATGTACCCATGTAGTAAGGATAAAAGTAAAATTCACATGCGTCGGTAGCGCGGCGATGCAGAGACGCTTGCAGAATTTTTAAAGGACGGGAACCGCTGATGTATGCGACGAAGCCCCGGCAAGCACAGCGAGAAAGCTCAAACAAACGTGTGCTTCTTTTACAAACCGATCCAGTTTGGCTTAACAAAGAGATCCCTGCATTCTATTCATTCCATCTCACCTGTATACCTGCACACACCGCATCCTGCCTATACCGATATAACGTATACTCTACACACGTCCACATACATACGATTCACAATGAAGGCAAACAACGGCTCTATCACTGCAACGTTGCCGTTTACACAAACTCACCCTATTTATGTCTAAACTAATCTTCCTGCATTGCTACCAGCAGCGTGTACCAACAAGAAGGAATTTAACAAAATTTAATAACACTACATAGGAAACGAGAACTGACTTAGAATTTATCTCAAATCAATCTCTGAAGGAAGTACCGATGTATTGGTTTTTGAATGAAGATACGTAATAGCTTAGCAGAGTATTGATAGGGTATTGGGTAAACTAAAGGCCAAAATAATGATCTTTTACTATCATGCAATTGACGCTGAACAAGAACATCAGCTCAGCGTGTATGTGTGTGCTTTTTTTTCTTCGTCTGAAAGAATGTTCCCCCCAAGTGGTAAGCGTAATAAGTGAATAACCCTGGGTACCCACCTATACCAGCGTAATCAGAATGGGGCCGTTTTGAAACGCACCCATGCATGGTACGCTTTAATGGGGCCGGCACAGCGGACTGTTGTTCACTTTGCTGTTTTATTCACATCTTCCCTAAATCCGCCGTCCTAGGAGTCAATCTTCCCCACAAAGGATCGCTCTGGTTTGTCCGCAGGGGCTCCAAGCGACAACAATTATTATCTCAATCCCAGTGGTTATTCTTCTACCTTTACCTTGTATCAAAATCAGTCCGAATGTTTCTAGCGATGTGCACCTTTATTACAACGAACCCTGAAATATTTAATTAACGCTGTATGGGATTGTGGTGTTTGAATTGAATGGAAATAATAAGTGGCAGGATGCAGTGTCGCAAGTTTTTTAACAAAATTCACTGCATAAACCTTTGTTGAGTGATTAGTGTGAATCGTGCAGCATATGCCTTCTCTTCGCCAGTTTTAATGTTTGTTGTCACTGAAAGTAATTTGCATGTTGCATGGAGTTCCAGCAGTACATTTTCGCGATTTTAGTAAATACGTGGAGTTCCCAGCGTGACCTGGGTGCCTCCTGGTCGGTCGGTCCTTACACCTCTTCCAAAACAATTTATTACAGTAGCGAAAGCATATAAAAGCTCTGTGTTGGCCTTTAACTTTTGTACGTTAACGTTAGTGTATTATATAGGATGTGTGTGCCTTCGTTTGCTGCAAATATATAATTACTCGGAGGCCTGGTACGCCCTTTTATCGGCCACGTGCTCTGAACCGGGGCTCTTTTATATCGTTTTTATCATAATTATAGCTATTTGGTTGCTCCACGAGCGGGACTTTTTATTAACGACAGGGGACCGAATGTGAGCGGGAGGTGCAAAACGACACGGAGAACCCGATTCACATGTGAGAGCTTCATTCTCGCTGTCTCCTAATGTTGTTATAACAACCCTTTCGCTACCTACCTTCATGTCCATTTATTTACGATTAAAAAACTAAACGATTCTTTCAAATTACCTAATATGTAGGTACTTACAAAACTGATTTTAATCGCCATTCTATTATACGCTTAGCAAGCGGGCAGTTTCTAACGGCAGGTGTACAGAAGTGAACAGTGAAATTCGCTTATAGTGACTCCGCATATAACGGGTAACCGTGAATTATATAGCAATTAAATTAGAAAGTTAAGTACACCTAATATTTCAGACTGCTTAGAATGACTCCAGTTAATATGAATAAATATCCATTTTGTGAGATTTGACAGTACGAATAATTGAAAGTAATTTTCTGGTTTTTTGCAAAACACTTGTCTTAATTTCGATAAACTATTTCGAAGAAAAAAAAAGAAGTAAAAATTCTGAACTGATGTTCAGGAAACTGTCAAACGCACTAGGAATCCTTCATCCAAGATTTTTTGTAATATCACAACATTTGTTTGTTTCCTGTATTTTTGATGGGATGCATATCGTGGAACGTTCGAAATGTGGTGTTACAGGCGAATGATGAGGATACCGTGTGGATAGAGAAGGTTAGAACTGAAGAGGTATTAGAAAGAGTAACAGAACAGAGGACTCTATGGAAGTCAATAAGAAATAGGTCAAGATAGGTTAGTAGGACACCTTCTCAGGCATGAAGGTCTAGTCAGAGACATACTAGAGGCAGAAACGGAAGTCAGGAGGTGTAGACCTAGATTAGATTAATGTTCGCAAATAGTTAAGGATTCTAGTTTTAGAAAAATACGAAGATTAGCTCAGGGTAGGAAAGAGTGGAGGTGCGTGTCCAACCAGTCTTAGGACTGACGACCTTATGATGATGATGATGCATATCGTGGGTAATTTCTTATTTTGAATAGTCTCTTCTTCAGTTCCTATATTTCAGATATATCAAAAACGAAGCAGTAATGTTTAGGTTACATATTCAAAAACGTCAATGAGGTTGTATATCAGGGCCTATCTCAATTTCAGAATTTTTATGCACCTCTTGTTTATTCGTGTAAATGGTACAAATAATACTTTATTTTATAAAGATTTATGTAAATAGCTACGGCTCAAGCGAATTTATTTTTAACATAAATATTCTAAAGAACAATTATATTCCGAGAACTAGAAACATCAAAACCTTTGAATTTTGCAAGGTCATACTGTTTATATGTACATTTACATTGTCATATAATACATTAAACTCTTTTTTGTTTAGGGTTCATAATTTATAAATTTTAGTGATCATTACCCTTAAAACACTATAGCTGAATTGCGATAATATTTATAGTTAATTGAAACATTTAATTGCTTATTATAATTTTGTGTTGTTAATTAAAGTTCCGTCTTGTAATAATGTTAAATAATTAGTTTTAACGAACGTAAATCTAATGGCACTTGATCATTATTAAACTTTTCTTTATTTATGTATGTATAACGTAACGTGGCTGCCTCGTCTTCGGAAAGATCGTTTTTGCTTAATGGTAACTTTATTTAAATTACTCGAGGAAAAAACACACTAAAGGTGTTTTTGCTCGACCGGAGTGTTTCATTATGGAAATTTTAGGTGGTTTAAGAACCATAGTTGTATTTCATATTATTACATTAATATTATTTGGTTATTAATTAAGTGCTTCTCTTTTTATTTACAGATTCGACAAGAAAAACCTTATTACATCGCTGATCCTGAAGTAGACTCTCTTGTAAGTTTTCACTACTACTCTAATACTTTTCTTATTTATTATATGTATATATTATTTTTGATTGAGGACGGATTATTACTTAATTCTTCGTCGCCTTTATTTGGGAATTTGACGGTAAAATTTTATCATGCACATTATCAAGTTGCGTGCGCACAGCTAACGAACATTCGCCAGTGTGAAGTTAGCAGCGTATCTTGACTTTTAGTGCGGGTTGCATCCTCACAATCGAGAACATTGTTTATATAATCACATAATTATGTATTAGTTACGTGGTTTCATATGTAGGCACATCGTACACATTTTCTTTTTGTTGAATATTATAAATTCTGCATTCCCGTTTGGTAAATGTAAATGGAAGCGATAAATTCGTTTATTGTTTTTTATCGCCGAAAGGGAACTGGTGTTTTATTTGATGGAGCCGTTAAAAGAAATCTAATTCAAAACGAGCTCGTTTTTTAATGATCAGATTTCCTAAAAAAGATCTCGAAGAGACGTAGCTCGGTCCATGAATATTTATAATTTTTCTATGAAGCTAAATCGTCATCAATGCGAACAATTTTTGTTGAGAGATAGATAGATATAGAAGAAGGCCAATTTTATACATACATATGTATATACAGACATTAAAGTTGTCCGGTTGAATTAAAAAAAAAAAAAAATGTGGAGAACGGCGGAGATCGTTATGCTAATTTATTCGTAGACAACAAACATCCAACATTATCATTAAGTGTTTTACGTAAGATTCGTATCTGAGTATGTGTGCTTGTGTTAAATTAGAAGTAGAGGTAGGTAGGATGTTTGAAGTTGTTTCATCATCCACGGATTTATGGGAAACTGAACATGCAGCTTCGTTAGCGTTTCGCTTTTTTTTATGTGCATTTTTCGTGATAATATCAGATTTAATGTTAATTGAAAATTAAAAGGTTTTTTTAATTATACACCCAGACGACTGCGCGATACTTACTACCTACTCTAATAATAAATAAACTCCGGCAACACAAAACTAATACCGTCGTCATTAACCGGATGGTCCGATGAAGAAATTTAATCTTAAAAAAAAGACGTTAAACTTTTGTAGACATAATAATAATAATAATAATAATCAATATATGCGTCGACAAAATCGATCGGTTCGAACTAGGTAATAGAAAGATCCAAATATGTATATTTTACAACAAAATGGAAACACTTCTTATGTTTATTGCAGAGTACAGTTACAAATCAAAGTAGCATAAAATAACACTTACAGAGGTTAACGGAAAGTAACCATCATCATCATTCCATCCTCAATTATCTGACTTCCTAGATATCGAAAATCAACCACTTCTTATTCCTAATTTTTCGTCTCCTACCTTTATAGGTCGCTCTTTCCCTTCATTTTCTTGCCTTGCATACCAGTATTTTTGTTTTACTTGTATTTATTTGTGTCCTGTTCTCTTACGCATTACAATTTCTATCCCCGAATTACTTTCCACCGATCCTCTATGTCTCCATCTTCTGGTCTACTGTATTTAATTGCAGTTTGTTCATCTCAATTTTCAAGTTTTTTAACTTCTCTGTTTATGTGTCCCATATCGCCATCATTTGGGCTTCGGTTTGTTTTACTTCGGATATCATAATGTAGTGGTTTCCCGTTTCTATCCTTTTTCAATCAGGACGCTTATATCTGTAGATCTTCTTGGATCATTCAGTTTAGATTTATCATCATAAGGTCGTCACTCCAAAGACTGGTTGTTCACGCACTTCCACTCCTTCCTATCCTGAGCTAATCTTCGCACTTTTCCTAAAACTGGAACATCCCACATCCTTAACTATTTGTCAACAGTAAGCTAATGTAGGTCTACCTCTACTCCTCATGGATTAGGATTTTCCAAAGCAATAATTTCGTTCCTTTCGTATCAGTTAACTGTGAGCTCACCTGACTATAAAGAAGTATCGCGGCGAGTAAGTGAATGAGTGGATTTTATGTAAAAGGCAAGAAGGTGTAACGCAGTTGCGTCCGATGGTAATTTTGCTTACAATCCGGTAGCGGAGGCCGTTCATCGGCGATATTAATCGGATCGGGTATATGTATAGATAGAATGGATGGATTGAAACTTGGCTCTGAAAGTCCATCAAGACAACAATCTCGCGCTCTGTAATTAAAGACGGTAATATCATGCCGCGGTGCGCAATTAGCATACGATAATGGATCGGGAGCCGAATTCGCCCATCACATGCTTCCGTCACTGTCTCCCTTCCGTACATTTACCCGTTTGCGCCACCACTGGCGCTGTAACGTTTCAATTATGTAATTGTCTGTACCGGCTCATAGAAATAAAGGAAAAAGAACTCATCCTTTCTTCATTATCTTAAATATAGTGAAGTTCGCTTGTAATGAACGACGCGACGACGATAAGGTATCATATAAATCATAAACGAAATATTAAATTAAGCAACCAATTCTGAACAAAAAAAAAAATTGTTACATGTACCTATTTGCCGTTAGGTTGATGGTTGAATTTAATTATAAAAAGTGTCTGCAACCCTTCCGTTATATATTATTAAATATAATTTGAGCCGTGGGTGTAATGAGAGAATGATGGCAAGGGGAGGGCGAGTGTTAATAAATCAAAATCCCTTAACGGCGCTGAACACACAGAGGGTGTTGTGGGTCGGATAACACTAAATATATTCTTTCAGTCCGCGACGCTATCTAAACTTCATGAATAAAGACCGTGCGGCTTCTCTTCTTCTTGTATCGTATTATATGTATAGTATATACCATGGGTGTGCACCCTGTTTGTATGGCGTAGGTATATCGGCGCTTGACTTTTTCATAAATTGATGATGATAATAGGGGCTTTGCTCTGAACATTTAGACCACTGCCCTTCAGTAGCACAACTGACTGAATTGACTAGAAAAATGAGAAAAAGTGGCCGATTTTAGGTATCTAGGAAGTCAGACGGAAGGAGTAGTAACGATATAAAACAGAGGATAGCGCAGAGTCGAGTTGCCTTCAATAAAAAGAAGTCACTTCTATGCTCGCGAACGGTTAATTTAGAAATTCGGATAAGGTTGTTAAAGGTGTATGTTTGGAGGACGGCGCTGTACGGGTGCGAAACATGGACAGTGGGCGCTGCGGAAAATAAAAGTTTAGAAGCGTTCGAAATGTGGTGTTATAGGCGGATGATGAGGATACCGTGGATAGAGAAAGTTAGAAATGAAGAGGTAGTAGAACGAATAGGAGAACAGAGGACTCTATGGATGTCAATAAGAAATAAGCGAGATAGGTTAGTAGGACACCTTTCAGGCATGAAGGTCTAGTTGGAGACATATTAGAGGCAGAAGAGAGGTAGAGGTAGACCTAGATTAGATTACTGTTCTCGAATAGTTAAGGATGTGGGTTATTCTAGTTTTAGGGAAAAGCGAAGATTAGCTCAGGATAGGAAAGAGTGAAGGTGCGTGTCCTACCGGTTTTAGGACTGACGACCCTATGATGATTATGAGACTATAAAGGCATCTACGCCTATTTTTTATAGCTTCAATAGTCTACACGGCTCTAATGGATTAATGTGACTTTTTTAACAAAATCTGTATCCACGTTTCTTAGTCGCGTATAAAAACTATTTCGTAAGAAGGTAGCATGGGTCCATTATTATTAATTTAGTTTGTTCTTACCGTATAGCCCGTTTCGGTCACTTTCTATACGCTGAGATACGAAAGACCGCAGGCGGTCTAGTTCTTTTTTTCTTCCTAACTAATTAATAATTACAAAGTTTGATTTAATCGGTCAAAATCGGGCGTGGAAATAAAGTAACTAACTAAGTAACGTTTTACTGGTGCTGCCGTTGTCGATTAGCGGAAAGCGATAATGAGCTCTTTTAGTTTTTAGCCTTTTACTTATAATAGTCTCGGATAACATATAAAAGGAACGGCCGCGGCCGAACGGGGTCACTCTTGTTCTTCTGGGGATTAGAACAAAAGGAGTGGATGGTGGATTAATGTCAGATAATGGCAATTTAGTGTTACGGCGCGATGGTATCGCGCGCGAAAACACAATCGACAAATATTAATGGATACCTGACTGCATTCAGTCCGACATACATACATACATACATACATACATACATACATTTACAAGTACATGTACATACGTACACATCATTGTATGACGGTTCGAATCTACGGATCTGGAGCGTAATTTATTATCTATACTATACATATAAAAACGAACGCATTATGTACAGCAAATGTTATAAAAGTAGCTGCTAGACTTTCTTAAATGGTAAATTAAAGTTTGGTACTATGCAGTAGAAGAATCCAATTTTATTATAGAGACGGCGAAGAGATTCACGAAATGTGATCGCTATAACCGACGGTCGCTACATCCAGATTTTTATTTGGTACACGTATATACCGGGTGCGAAACATGGACGGTGGGCGCTGCGGAAAAGAAAAGGTTAGAAGCGTTAGAAATCTGGTGTTAAGGTTAGAAATGGAGAGATGTTAGAAAGAATGGGAGAACAGAGGACTCTAAGGAATGCCAATAACAAATAGGCGAGATGGGTTAGTAGGACATCTTCTCAGGCATGAAGGTCTAGTCAGAGACATATTAGAGGAAGAAACGGGAGTTAGTAGGGGTAGAGGTCGACCTAGATTAGATTACTGTTCGCTGTTAAGGATGTAGGTTGTTGTAATTTTGGGGAAATGTGAAAAAAGCTCTGGATAGGAAAGAGTGGAGGTGCGTGTCCAACCAGTCTTAGGACCGACGACTTTATGAGGTTGGTAGGAGACCTTCTTAGGCATGAAGGTCTAGTCAGAGACATATTAGAGGCAGAGGAGGGGTAGAAGTAGACCTAGATAAGATTACTGTTCGCAAATAGTTAAGGATGTATGTTGTTTAGTTTTGGGGAAATGTGAAGATTAGCTCAGGATTGGATAGAATGAAGATGAGTGTCCAACCACTCTTAGGACTGACGACCTTATGATAATGACAAGTACATGCAGATTTTATGTAGCTATAAAACCAACCGCTTACGCAAAGTCCATCCAGTTGAATCTTCTGAAATTATTGCAGAAATGATTAAAGCTGGTGTAGCTGGGGGTGTATCAAGATTGATTTGACTAATTGCCTAATTCTTGACTAATTTTTATCACTGAGAAGTCGATTCCTATAAATTCTATCGTAACATGGTTTGTTACATTGCAGCATTGATACCTTCTCTATTCATTTCTGTAATGATATGAAATGGTCCCTTCAATCTCGCAGAACAAATAGTGACTTTTCTAGATTATACATTAATAGGTGATTGCTTTGAGTCAGTTATTGTAAACGAAGGTTTGACTATGCTAATTGAAAAGCACTTTATTTCTTTAACAAAGTAATGCAGATCATATGAAGACAACTTAATGATGATACGTAGGCATGTAACACATTTATTTCCTGACAGTTGGTAGAATACGAGCGGTATTCACGAGCTATTTATGTAAAATATATATTTTTTTATATCATCAGCGTGTTGCTATTCAAATTTTAACGTTTGTGCCGTTTGTAACATTGAACAATTTCACAGGAATAATTAATATACATTTATGTAGTTGTGTGGGTAATAGAATTTCAGTACCTATATCAAACGTCGCGAAATAGTAATAACGCATACATAGTAGGAAAAAATAAAATGGAAGACCACCCAGTGTTCCGGGGCGGACGAGGTCAGGGGTTGATAAATATAATCTAAGTCGTCGGTCCTTCTGTTGTTTAACTTGACTCTGAAACGCCATTAAAAATCGTAACGCACCGATTAGTCGTACTGCTCGTAAACGCGCGTTTAACGATTCGAATTTCTTTTTTAATTTGTCACCTTGGTAATTTTCTCGTTGGTCGGTCCGTTGGATTTAATTTGTGTTACGACAGCGCCGTCTAAACGGTCCTGCCTACAACACGGCTAAAGGATACGATAGCAAATAAAAAAATGAGGAAATTTCATTCTACCTACTGTGAGTTTCGTCCAGTTCTTTCTGTGGAAATTATATGAATAGTTATAAGTATAACAAAGTTCGGCTTTAGTGACCCCAAGGGTGATGAGGATAGTAATCGTATTGATCATCATAGTCATAAGGTCGCCAGTCCTAAAACTGGTTGGACACGCACCTCAATTCTTTCCTAACATGGGGTAATCTTTTCGTAGTTCCCTAAACTGGAACAACCTACATCGTTAACTATTTGCGAACAGTAATCTAATCTAGAACTTCTTTCATTCCTCTGAACTCCTTTTTCTGCTTCTAATATGTCTCTGACTAGACCTTCATGCCTGAGAAGGTGTCCTTCCATCCTCATCATAAGGTCGTCAGTCCTAAGAGTGGTTAGACACTCACCTCTACTTTTTGCTATCCTGAGTCAATATTCGCATTTCCGTAAGACTAGAACAACCCACATCCTTAACTATTTGCGAACAGTAATCTAATCTAGGTCTACATTTAGCCCTCCTAACTCCCGTTTCTGTCTCTAATAAGTTTCTGACTAGACCTTTATACCTGAGAAGGTGTCCTAACAACCTCATCATAAAGTCGTCAGTCCTAAGAGTGGTCGAACACTCACTTCCACATTCTCCTAACCTGAGCTAAACTTCGCATTTCCCTAAAACTAGAACAGCCCACATCCTCAACTATTTGCGAACAGTAATCTAATCTAGGTCTACCTCTACCCCTCTAACCTCCAGTTTCTACCTCTAATATGTCTAGACCTTCATGCCTGAGAAGGTGTCCTACTAACCTATTTCGCCTATTTTTTATTGACTACAATAGAGTCCTCTGTTCTCCTATTCTTTCTAATACCTCTTCATTTCTGATCTTCTCTATCCACGGTATCCTCATCATTCGCCTGTAACACCACATTTCGAACGCTTCTAACCTTTTTGCCGCGCTACAAACATACACCTTTAACAATCTTTTTTCGAATTATCCTGACTTATCTGAATCATATTATCACAAAATTATTTATCGGGTGATGTGTCATTTATAAGCGGTTGGTCGCCATGAGATTTTTCTTAGAAAGGGTAGATTTTCAGTAGTCATAATTGGTTTCTATGTCTTTAAACTTTGTGCCGATTTCGTGAGTCGCCGGAGCATTTTCCAGGGGGGGAGCAATGCGCTTGCTTAGGGGGCAGTGCCCCGCCTCTGCTCCTGTCTATCTTGGAACTTCTGGGAAGCGTTGAAAATGGAGCATAGTTTTTTATTATAGTCATTACATTCCCTAAACCATAATCTACCTAAGCACTTGATGTTTCCCGATAATTATTGAACGGTCGATTGGAATTGATTACGAATACCTACAAAATCTACATATGTAGATTTCGATGTCTAATTAAGTATTAGTAGACGGTCGTGTAGAATAATTAACATTTAATCAAGTTTTCGTCGTATTTTCCATTGTCTTTTGAGCGGACATGTAATCTGCGACCTTTGCGGAGGTGTAAGTAATAAGAGTGAGTGTTCGTGAACGTCTCTTGAATGGGACGATTAGGTCTAATTCCGTCGATTTGTTCGTCGCACCCGCAGGAAGGACCGGAAGGCGGTGATTTAACTGATAGCAACTAGAGCAATCTCTCCAATGTACATTGTTCCCATCGTGTATATTATACACATTTATATGTCTAGATGGGTACCTCGGTATCGTGTAAAAGGATTCAAGTCGTGGCATTACCTAATGACTTATAATCTGTTTTATTGTACTCTTTCTAAATCGTTCTTTTTATTTTTTGTTGCAGATGGTCCAGGCGATACAAGTGCTTCGGTTTCATCTCCTCGAATTAGAAAAGGTAAGAAAATTGTTCATTTTTATAAATTTAATATAATGTTGAACTTCTGCTCCGGATTGAAACGTAATTTTGATATTCACGGTTGGCCAGCACATGGGCCAGAATTCTTTGATCCAGTCGATTTTAGTCATAGCTATTTCACATACAATTTTCACAAGCCCATCCATTTTACGTCTATTTCATTTCATTGAAATCCAACGTAACAAAAAAAAACTAAAACTTTTGGGTGTTTCATTCCCACCAGCCAGTAATACTGGTGGGCGGGCAGTCCCTCCGGACTACGCCGGAAGGTAGGGCGGAAGGCCCTCTTCAGCCTGCTTTCAGGGATCGTGGGAATGGGTGGGTGGTGGTTCGGGTGAGAAAGATGAGACGGACGAAATGAAGACAGAAGAGAATGAAAGTTTATCTGTGGAATATTACTGCCTAAGTGATCTAAGGAAACCACAGAAAAACTTGAATCAAAGCAGACGGACCCGGAATCGAACCGGCGTCCTCCCGAATGCTAAGCAATGGTCTAGACCTCTAGGCCATGCCGCTCGGTCCCAACGTAACAGATACTACCTACTATTTATACTTATCGTAACTATAAAAATAATTGCAATCGTTTGGCAAGTCCTTAAGTGTGAGAAAACCAGAAATGTATACTGAACGTACTTAGGTGGAAACTTGAAAAGACTCCATAATGTGGATAAAAAGTGCCTGTTCTGCTGCTAATGTGCCGTTTTATTTCTTGGGCATTAATCAATATTTATTATTTAAGACAGGAAAAAAATTGAGCAATCGTCAACGTGTATTCTTGTAACGACTGTTTAAATTGCTGTAGGAAACTTGTTCGTCACAGTAGCGGGCTTTTTGTCCAAGTGCTTTATTATTGGCTGTCAATACTTCATTAACAACGTTTCTGTTAAGAACGTGGTGTAATCCTTAACTGGTTTTCAAATTAGTCTTGTACTATCGCAAAAAAGTAACGAAAACGACACGATTATAATTTCAAGGATAATCTTATCTGGATCTCCCTCAGAGGATAAGGATGTGCAAGAAACATCTGTGCACTCCTTTTTGTCCGTAATTGTATTAGTAGCTACACTCAGACTTAAGGTACATAGGAATAGGTACTGACCTAGAGGTTTAGACCATTGCTTGATATTCCTGGATGAGCTAGATCTAGGCACTTACTGGAGCAGTAGTAGTATTCCATAGATAATCTTTCACTTCTCATAAGTCTTCATATCGGCAGTCTCTCCTTTCTCACTACAACCACAACCCATTCGTCCCTATGTTTCCAAACAGGAAACTGAAAAGGACTTCCCGTCTTCGTTTGCAGCATGGCCCACCCTCATTAGCAGCTAGTGGGAGTAAAACAGTTGTTTTGGCTTGCATTGTTTGTAAGTTTGGTATAAATTTTGCGGATGGTACTCAATTTGTCTTTAATGGCAAAAGTGCATGAGAGACAGGCAGACAGACAGATAGGTAGATATAAGTAGTAGTTAGAGTGCAAGTATTATATGGTTAAAGGGCGGAGTTGTTTATGGTGTTCAGCGTCGAGTCGTTATCTAATAGCACGTTCGTCCGGTAAAAAGGATATCGCCGCGAAGCTCGATCGAAGTCGTTTGATACAATGCAACGAACGTAGCAAAATGGCCGTGTGGTATGAGATAGCGTATACGAAAGTTGGTATACCGTCTGGACAACAACCGACAACCGGTTATATGCATTTTACCTCAACGGATCGCCGCTATTATAGCGTCCATTCGAAGATAAGCTTCGATACGGAATACGGACCCGTTAGCAATTTAAATTTCCGTGCATGCTAACGTCCAAGAGGCGACCTAACAGACCAGGCCAGGCCAGGCCAGACCGACCGCGACCATCTCTCTCTTCATCTTCTTCTTGTTTGTCGTCGTCCAGCTGCTGTAAGACGGACGTAGGCCACTTTTGGATTTTTTAATCGGATACAGGACAAGCTCGACGTCCATCCGCCAAATAGGGACCACAAAACGAAAAAGCGGCTTATTGTTACCCCTTTTCTTCTTTCTTGAATCGCTGCGGATGCTATTGTTTGTGAGGGAATCGGGATCGTCTATTCAAAGTGACTTCTGCCAGAGCTTTCGCTCGACATGGAAGAAAATTTCTAGATTTATTTGTTGTTTGACATAACTGCAGACGATTATTCATTTAGTCTAAAACTCAAAGATCAAAAATGCAGTGGAACGAGAGGGACATTCTTCCTTCAGGAATCCCAAAATATATAACTAGGTTTCTCAATTACTTTTTTTTTTCTTCAACTAATACCTACTTAGCAGAAACTTAATATGGAACCTCCACAGCGAGAACAATTAATTCACTCCTCCCGATTCCTTTTCCTATTTCGTTCTTCGGCTGTTGGAGTGTTTGTGCTGTGACCACCGATTATTCAGTTCTCGTTCTTTTCTTGCGGTCTTTTACCAATATTAATATTAATGCCGGTCTGTTTTCAAAACACATCATCGTTTTTACAATGACTGGACGAGACGTGTACATTTGTAAAAGTCATTTAACGGTTGGTCGTGTCTGGATTACCCGAGTGACAAAGAGAAACGGAGATGGACATATACGAAACGAAAGAAAGAAAGGATGGAACCGACCGTCAGATCGTTAGTTACCTACCGAAGTAGTAGTATAACCCTCTTTTCTGAATACGATAACAACGACCATTATTGTAATAATACTGATAGTAATAATTGCAATGAGATGTGGTCGGTCGTTGTCGGTGACGCAGAAGCGTCTGCTGCATCCTAATTAAGGAAGACGGCAAACGCGTGCACCACAATATACATATATATATATATAATAATGTAATATACACACGAGGGTACAGACAGAGAAGACGTGATCGTTCGAATGACAGCTGACAATGATGCGAACAGGCGAACGTTACTTTACTACCCGGATCGGATCACATTCGGGTCACGTTACAACCTTATATATGTATGTGTAGGTGGGTGTAGGTACATGCCCATCTAGTTCTTGCTAATTTTCGTCATCTTGCCTTCGGTAGATTTGGGGTAGATTAATAATGTATTTCCATTGCATGCAATTTTGTGGCTTCGACTGCGCTCATATTTTTTTGATATTAGTAGTAAACATTTATGCAAGATGATGTAAAAATGCTAAGTTATCAACTACTAGCTACAAAAAAACAGCAATTTACATCTGAAATGGATAAGTTAAACTAATTGAACTTTGCCTCGTAAATAATGAGACGAATGCTTAAAATATCCGGCTCGAAGGACCAATGCATTAAAAGTATAAATCTGCATATATGTGATAAATAACAGATCCATTTGGATTAAAATTTTCGTAGAAAAAATTGAACATTCTGCACATTGACTACTTCATTATGATTTTGCAAAAATGAGCATTTACGTTTACTTTAATGTCCCAAATATTCATTTCTAAAACGCGCTAAAACCTTGAGCGATTATCCGTTTGGTATACAATTATTAGGCTTTTAATTCTTGGCGAGTTGTTATACTTGTAATATTCCAATGGGTCTTTTAATAAAGCGCTTTGTCGCTCCCGACAAAATCTAGACAATCAAACGTAATATAATCGAAGTCCGTCCAGAAGATGATCGCCGAGAAAAAGTATTAATGACAAAAACCAGATCGTGTTCCATTGTAAAGCTCGGCCGTTTGTCCAGAAAACATTTCGACAACTCACTAGTGCGGTTTTTTATCTATTTCTCTCGACGCGACCGACGTGAAGATGAAGAACAAAGTCGATCGGGGAATTTGGAAGTCGATTTTACGAGGTGTTCCAAAAACATTCCTTTACATCAAGGTGGTGATCGTATAGAATAGGCCGTCGATATAAATACATAGCAAGAGTTGGTGCTTCAATTTGGGAAGATGGTCTTTGGAAGTGAAAAATTTGAAACATTTTTTTGTTCACATATTCAAACAAACACGTCAACTTTAAACTCGTTCATGATGATGATGATGTTGATAATGTTGTTGATATGAGTAACATTTAGGAATTATGTTAGGAAAAATGTTCACTTAATCACGACATAATATCGACATGGAGCGAGTTCTAAACTCATACGTAGAAAGAAACCTGTGACGATGAGATCGACTTGTACTACAGTTTGTTGTTGTCGTAGTTTCATCTCGCTGGTTATCGTAAGCTCTATGCTAGATAAGGATCTAAATTGACGATGAAATAGAGTTGCCTCACGCCGCTTCCATTGTATTAATGCTATAATAAGGATAAGGAAGGCATTCGCATTAAAATTCTTGAGGCGACGGTTGTAAAAATTCTAATCGGTGCGTAATATTATGTATTGATATGTCATTGATTCGATCACTTGTTATAAATAATTGTTTAGGTTGCGATGAAGGCATGTTTAAAACAGACGATGATATTAGGATTGATCAGTTGTGAGGAGGGAATCTTTAAAATTCCAATAATGGTCTCTTGTTAGCAGTTCCTAAAATAGCTTTGTTACGGTTAGAACTAGATGGCTTTTCAAAATAAGTATTACATTTCAATGTCTAAATTAAATCTGTTTGTAAATATTATTTAGAACGGGCAGTGTAGGCTATCCTGGGTCCTAAACGTTGTTAATCTCCTTTGGTCATAGACACAACACACATGGCGTTTATTTTCTCCATCATTCTCTGCCAGACTGGCACCAATTTACCTCCATACTTGTCCAGTTCGAAGGCCATCCTGGTTGACCATGCATCATCCCATGCAAATGAGCGACTTTCTTTTTTAATCGTGTGCCAATTTTGACCACGATACGTTTATGTTAATCGGAGTTTCGTCAAGAACGGAACGGTCTGGTCGTCTTTGTTTTTTCATCCACATTTTCATCGTCATCGTCGCACCAACTGTTTCGTTTCCTCAAGCCAAAAGCTCTTCAGTAGGGATACGTCGCACCCAAAAAATTACTTGTAATGCCTGCCGTGATTTAACAAATCTATACTTTTCCCCGCTGATTCGCTCGCAGAAATTAATATTGCTTCTCCTTAAAGTCTTAAACTCCCAATTCATCCCTACAAAGTTTTAATTTTATGTAATGTCGCCATCCTAGATTTCAAATACAAACGTAACTGATTCTTAAAAATTGTCAAAACACGTTTTGCTTATAAAAATACTATCCAAATTTCCAGTTTTTCCCGTGTAATTTCCAAAAAGTTTCTTTCACACAAACATTGTCCTGTCAATTACAAATACAACAATAAATAAATCAGTCAAATCACTTGAACCGTGCTCAAGCTATGCTCCGTCATACACTTGGTAATTCCCTAAAATTGACAGCTAAGAGCAGTTTGAATTTGGTTTTTACGTTTTTCTAGGCAATTTTTCCAATTTTTCTCTTTGTAAGAATCTACCTCGGACTTCAAGGAATATCTTTAAAAAAAAAATTTCGAAATTGGTTCATTCGTTCATTTATATATAAAAGTAATAGTGATGATCAATCAGTTTAGACATTGTGTCACATTTTCTATTAAACGGAGCAGGCTTCTTTTGAATGGACAATAATTTGCAGGACATCTAGGATGTCCGCTTCAATTAGACTTGACTTGGTTTATGTATTTTAGTGAATCAGGTGCGTAGGTGGTGGTTGGTACGTGCGCCTCACGCTGACAAATATCCTTAACGTATGTCTGACATATGGACACCCTCGATTTTTAACTTTTCGTTGTTTATGATTTGTTATTTCGTTTGTTGTTGGAAGCAGTAATTACTAAATGTGCGCGCCCGGCCGAAATGTTTTCGTTGGCGCCTCCTACGACTAGCAATTAGGCTTTAAATTTATTTCGGTGCGTTAAAATCTTATCGTTTATCTACCGTAATAAACATAATTTATCTTGACGCTACCAAAACCCGCCGTTCTCGTCGCAAGTATTTCGCCATTAAAAATAAACATTTTGGCAAATCCACTCACTATTGCTGTCTCTCTATTTTTTTATCTATTTATTTACGTATCTATACATTTATGTTTGTATAATAAGTAACTTCATGGATATATCGCAAAGTCTAAAATATCACACATTGTAAATAACATTAACGCACTTATCTGCATATTAAAACTTATTAATATAATCGACTGAAAATTGTTATTGATGATGCACCGTCACTTCGGTTCAATTAAAATGTTAATCAAAACAATACGATGTGGGTACTTGTACTTGTTATATTTGCATGCGATCTTTCTTTCCTTAATGATGCAGAAAGCACCGGCCGGCGGCTAGGCGACGGCGGTGGTAGTAACGTTTCCTGTGTGCTGTTGTTTCAGTTCTTATTTTATTCTTTGTTTTCTTTTGTTGCAGGTGCACGAACTTTGCGACAATTTCTGTCATAGGTATATCAGTTGTTTGAAGGGCAAAATGCCCATCGATTTAGTGATAGACGAGAGGGACGGTACGAAGCCGCCCGATCCACTAGGCACCCCCGCGAACGGCGACGGTGGCACCAGAAGTACAGCGGACTCAACGTCGCATACGGACGGAGCCAGCACGCCAGATGTCGTGAGTACTTTTTATACATTTTTTTCGCCAAAATGCAAACAAATGACACTTATTTCAAAAGGTCCGTTAATCATAACGATCATTATCCTTGTGCATTAGAAGTTACACCAAATAACTGGAAAAAAAAAAATTCAGTTTGAAAATCTTTTGAATAAAAATAATTCGAATTTTTGGTGATGTCCTAAATTGGGAACCTTTTGTAGCGATGTTTTGAAATGTCATATCGCCGGTGTTGTGCGTTTTCAATTATTTAATATTCGTGGAAACAAAATTTAAATGTTACAACTTTTGAGGTATCGTATTATTCGATTGCCTTTCTGCTAGAACAGAATGTAACTTGATCCGATTACGATCGTACGAAATGTTCAGAACACATTTTTTGGTGGTGTAATAGTAAACTGGATAAGATACTGATCTTGTCGTATTCACTCGTATCGTCGATGACGGATGTTGAGGAGACAGATCATTGGACGGACATTGTTCTTTTTAAGACGCAACTTCGAGAAATGCATATCATTAAATGAACGACGCGATGATGAGATCTTTTTTTTTCTTGTCCTTCGTTTGGGTCTGAATGTTACGACGAAAAATCTACAATTCCAAGTCCAATATTATCTTGCTACAAATATTCCATCATGCATAGATATTTTTAAAGTGAACTATAAATTGTTACTAATTTGTTACAATATCCAAAAGTTTGTCATTCCATCCAGGTACTGGAAAATAGTTGAAATGGTAGCCTTATATTATTAGGCTCGTATATCCAAAAAGAAAAGGCTTAGAGAAATATTGTTGGTGATATAATTTGTCGCCGATTTGTCTCTGAAAGGTGGTATTTTTTCCCATTTTGTCGCCGGTATATCCAGCGAAGAATGCCTGGAGAATCGCCAAGCAGGCACTAGACATAACAACGTATTTCTAAATTAAGATAGCATAGAAAAATACTGTAAGGGATATAATTTGTCGCTGAAAAATGGTATTTTTATCCATTTTGTCGCTAGTACATCCAGCGGAAAATGAATGGAGAACCGCCAAGCAGGCGCTAGACCTAACGTATCTCAAAATTGAGATGCCATAGAAAATACTGTATGGGCTATAATTTGTGACCGATTTGTTGCTGAAAGATGGTATTTTTATTCATTTTGTCGTCACTATATCCACCGAAAAATGACTAGAGAACTGCCAGAAGGCACTATACATAATGTATCTTGAAATTAAGATGGGATAGAAAAATACTGTAGGGGCTGTAATTTGTCGCCGATCTGTCGCTGAAAGGTGGTATTTTTACCCATTTTTTTGTCGGTAATCCAACGAAAAATGAATCGAGAGGCGACAACCGGGCTCTACACAAAACGTACTTCGAAATTGAATTGGCATAGAAAAATATTATAAGGGCTATAATTTGTCGCCGATTTGGCGCTGAAAGGTGGTATTTTTACCCATTTTGTCGTCGGTAATCCAACGAAAAATGAATCGAGAGGCGACAACCGGGCTCTACACAAAACGTACTTCTTAATTGAAATGGCATAGAAAAATATTATAAGGGCTATAATTTGTCGCCGATTTGTCGCTGAAAGGTGGTACTTTAACTCAGTTTGTCGCGAGTCCTTACAGTTATTTTTGTACGATATTTCTATTTAAGGATACGTTATGTTGTGTAGCGGCAATTTAACGTCACCACAGCCGTTTTTCGTCGATCAGCTCCAGATTGGACTCTTGACAAAATGGATGAAAGTACCATCTTTTAGCGACAAAAATCAACGACAAATTATATCCCTTACACTATTTCTGTTTCGAGATATACTGTGTACTGTGTAGCGTCATTTCCCAATAACCAATTAGAATGACAAATTTTTTATTCGGTGACAAATTAGCGACAAAGTTTTGTACACTTTGGGAATAAGAAATACAACTTAACAAAATACTCGAAATGACACCACAAAATTTCGGTTTAAGTTTCCTTTTGACTCGAGCCAAGGCGTCGTCATTATTCCATTTGAGCTTTTTAAAAAGTAAAAAGACAGAACGAACAACAAACAACAGAGAAAAAAAAAAACGAAGAAAAGAAATAATTGTGGTAGTAGTACAGCCGCGATTTCGTAACGGCATATCAATCACAGTCCGTATCTAATTTGAATATACGCACGCCCAGCGCCGTTGTTTCTCGAATTCCCTCGCAAGTCCCAACACGGTCTCCCGCGGTTATTTGCATGAAAAATCTACTTTATTTGCAGTTGGCATGTATAATCGATCGCTATTACAGGCCGTGGGCGTTCAATTGTTTTATTTTTAGCGAACCGATCGTTTATTTCGTGTTTTGTTTCCGCCGATACGCGTTATTCTAGAACGCCCCACAAAAGAACAAACGGCTCTCTATGCAATTCTGTTCATTCTTTTTTCTTTTTCTTATTCTTATTTTGTTTCGTTTGATTAACTAACCGCAAGTGTCCATTCGAAATCAAATTTTGTCAATCCTTGTTGCATGTAATCACTAATAACAGGGTGGAAAAGTTACTTACCGGCGGTCTTGTTTTTGTGAATAAAAATTGTTTTTTTGATTGGTCGAAAAGGTAAAGGATGATCGCGAATGATAGTGTAAAGGATACAGTGTTGTATTGGCTGATAAAATCAATTTGACATTGTTTTCCAAGATATCGTTGAAAAGTAGAAGTAAGCAATTAAAATGTGTACGCCCACCGCCAGCCTCGCGAATTAATTATTATTTAGCTTATCTTCGTAGAAATTACTTGGTACAGTGTTCGTTTATGGTCCAATTTAACAGATTATTATTCAACTCGCATTTTAATAGAAACCCACACGTGTAATTTATCTAATCGCACACCAGATTACCCACACGTATGTGTGCTACGCTATTGATATTAAAAAGAAGGTGCACTTGGCTTCTATTCAACACTAGTTTTCACCATTTGAAAATTTAGAAGTTGTTTAATTGAGTTCTCACAATAATCTTTCATAATTTTAATACTAGAAGTCAAGAATAATCAATATTAATTTGAAATCGTTTTTTCGATTTTTTATTTACCCACTACAAACTACCTCAAATTAATGAGGGAAAAAAATTGCATATTAATCCACTATTAAGTAACTAACAATGTCATAGGATTTCATATAAGTCAAGAATAATTGCTTTTTTTCATCATTGCAAGATTGATTATCTTACAAATAGCAGAGAACGGTGTCATTTTTAATAATGCCAAAACTATTGATATTAGCTCGGTTTCTAGATTCTGTTTGCCCTTTGCATTTGTGGGAAGGAAGTTTCGACGGGTAATTGGTGTCAATTTAGACTGACGCATCGTCAGGGATTGTGTTTCACCCTCTTCGTGGCACTCACGTCACTGTTCGAACCCTCACCGTCCATGCAACTTCTTTCTTCCTAGTCTCGTTGCTTATGCGTCTTTTTTTCCCTAATAATGATAATGTAATAATAACACCAACGAGACGCCTATGTATATTGAGTGTCTCATAAACGAGTAGGTAGATGTAGTTGAATTCTGGAAGGACTGTCTCTATATATTGTCACTTTGAAGTTGAATTTTTGTGTTTTATATATGCAGTGTAAGAGTTGTTTAATTCATCGTCTGGTCGTAAACGTCGCTTTCCGTATTACTGGCGTCAGGTGATAAAAGATAATCCCTGATACTTGACGATGACGTAATGGTCTCTGAAATTGGCCTGTAGCAGGTTTATTGAAGAGATTTTACAATCTATTTGAAAAGCTTTATTGAAATATTTAATGTTTGTACGTTAAGATAAAATACGCCATAAAACGATCGCTTGTATCGAATCAAATAGAATTTATGATGATACCAATCTCATCGAATGGTGTGCACCTTTAAGTGGTCCGAATGAATGGGAATGCGTAAATTAGCCGCCGCATTCATTACCTATAAAGATTCAATTCGAACTTTGTAACACCACTCTTCTTTCGTCACAGTTGTGTGGTGCGTTACAAAATCCGACTAGCGTAAGTGGGCGGTGTCATCATGATATAGACACTGTAAATAATAATCGTAATATAATATTTAATTAAGAATTGATAAAAGTAGGACAAACAGACAGATAATTAGATTATAATCCGAATCGAATTTGCAATACAGGATATTGATTTATTAACACGTATGAAAATAAATAAAAGTAAAACAAAAATATTGGTATGCAAAGGAAGGAAAAGTAGGGAAAGAGCGAATATTAAGACAGGAAACGAAAAATTAGAAGAAGTGCCCGATTTTAGGTATCTAGGAAGGCAGATAAGTCAGGACGAAAGGAGCAGTTGGGATATAAAGCAGAGGATAGCGTAGGGTCGAGTCATCTTCAGTGAAAAGAAGTCACTTCTATGCTTGCGAACGGTTAATTTAGAAATTCGAAAAAGGTTGTTAAAGGTGTATGTTTGAAGCACGGCGCTGTACGGGTGCGAAACATGGACAGTGGACGCGGTGGAAAAGAAAAGGATAGAAGCTTTCGAAATGTGGTGTTATAGGCGAATGATGAGGATACCGTGGATAGAAAAGTATTAGAAAGAGTAAGAGAACAGAGGACTCTATGGAAGTCAATAAGAAATAGGCGAGATAGGTTAGTAGGACACTTTCTCAGGCATGAAGATCTAGTCAGAGGCATATTAGAGGCAGAAACGGTAGTTAGGAGGGGTACAGGTAGACCTAGATTAGATTACTGTTCGCAAATAGTTAAGGACATGGGTTGTTCTAGTTTTGGGGAAACGCAAAGATTAGCACAGGGTAGGAAAGAGTTGAGGTGCGTGTCCAACTAGTCTTAGGACTGATGACCTTATGATGATGATGATGATGATCACGTATCATGCAACTTACGAAAACATGTGGCTACTAATCGTAATATGAATGCATCAATAGATAATAAACAATTAACTATTTATTTAAATAACATTGGATTAAAGGTTGCAATAGACTCTTAAAATGGTCAAAAGCAATGATTTTTTGAAATACTTCCTTGGGAAGAATTTG